TTTTTGATGCAGAATAATTTTCGATATTATCGATAGTGGCTATTAGCGATAGAGAAAACTATCGATGTTTTACGCACCCAATTACCAGTACAGAGAATGTAATAACAACGTGTTGTTGTTTTTTTTATAAATTGGGTTGATAGATAGCCCTCAAATACCTTTTGCAAAATTTAGGTCTTTGTGATTCCTGGACCCGTTTTCACGTTCCTAAATTTATTTGCCACTTATAATATGATTTCATATTTTGAATCATTTTATGGACATATGTGGATGGATAAAACCAGTTATTCTTTTAATTTATTTACAATTAAATTATATTATGATTTCATATTTTGAATCATTTTATGGACATATGTGGATGGATAAAACCAGTTATTCTTTTAATTTATTTACAATTAAATTATATGGTAATTATTACCTTTATATCTTAGCTTTATAATAATTCATAAAGCCGCTCTAAATTAAGGTACTATCGTACTTGATTTTGGATGATTCATGCATCAAGAATGGAACATCTCGTATAACCATTACAAATGTATAAGCTTATATACTTCGAAATATTTCCCCCGAATTTCGAGCTGTTTAGTAAAAACTTAAAGGCGTTAATCCAGCAACACATGTGACCGGGTGTCGGCAGCTGTCAGCATCGTCACAAAAATTACATTTTGGTGGCTAATTAAAATTTCAAATTAAATCACAAGTAATTAGCTGAAAGTCAAAGACAAACATGGCAGGCACATAAAAGGTCGGGTTGGGAAATTTGACAGCATTTTATGATTTACAAACGCAATGAAGATTTTTGCCTAATGGTCTGTTGTTCCTGCTTGACAGGTGGGTGCGGAAGGTGCAAAGCGCGCCCATATACGTCGTAGCAGATACATTTGCCTGCCAAATTAAATACATTAAAAGCGACAACAAGCAGTCAAAATGGAGAGAGGCAGCCAAATGGGCAAAACAGGCGACACATTAAAATACATTTTTAATGTTGATGTGAGTGTGCCCGCCCCTTTTTCGCTTTCGGAAACATTTTCTTCTTTATTTATTCATGTGAATGTCTGTTTTCGTTTCTCTTTGACTTTTGACTGTCCCGATGCCTCATCAGACCACCACAATCCTCCCTCACAAATTTCGCATTCCCACCATCAGCCTGACAGGACGTCCGTTAGAAATGTAATTTAAATAATTACTTTTATTATGTCAAGAATTTTTGAGCGAGTTCGTTTTTTTTTAATATCTGTATGCCTTACATTTTATTTATTGAAACTTCTCCTTAACTAAATAACCTTTATAAGAGTCATATTGACCGGCACAAAATTGAATAATTATTGCTTGGATTAAAGGCCGTTTCGTTGAAGGCGGCTTCTGCTCGAAACTCGAGTTAAAGCCCTTGAGAGATGATTAGCACTAAAAGTAGGTTATTATAATAGGACACTTTTTTGCTTGGATATTTTGTAAATTAATGACGAGATGCCAAGATCCGCCTGGATGTTTTCATTTCGAACATACCTTGGTGCCCTTGTAATAGTTCTCAGCTCGCATTTGCCACGACTGCGGGCATTAAGTTGCAGATGCAGTTTATTGCTTTAAGTGTGTTACCGTCAGGTTAGTCGCCTCTCGAGCTGGCAGTCTAGATGCGTTATATTGCAGGCTTAGTGAAATTCACGATTGTCTGTTCAGAAAGAAACGTCGTGCGTTATTAGCGATTTTTTCAGCATGACTGGTTTTGTGGAACTCGATCTGCAATCGTTCATATTTACAAAGCCTTCAGATTTTTTAACGTTACATCATACATGAAGGTAAGACTTAAGAAGACTTAAAAAATATCAGTATAATATTCCTTCCCCGGGTTCGAAAGTAGTACGTATCAAATTGGATTGACCGGACGAGTCTGGAAGGATTCCGCACGACTGTGGACTAATGGGCTGTAGTGTTGTATCACAGTCTGTGAATAGCCAGCAGTTACAGATTGGTCATCATTGTGTCATAGGTAGATAGGTATTACGCGCTTTTGGAGATATTTTTCTATCAGTTTGGGCAGCCACGATAACAAATTCATTGAAATTGTGTGATCTTCACCGCACTTTGGTATAATTATGATAATATTTTTGTTCTTTTGTTGCGTTTTCGCTTAAGAATTTGCACATAAATATATTTGGAGGTTATAATTCCACGCGCGTAGTTTTTTTAAGTTTCAGTTAGACTGTTTGTTCCAGGGTACCAACTGGTTTTGTAACCGTCATCCCTAACCCGTATAACACAATCAAAACCGGGGGGTATCAGTAAATACAGTGGACGACACTGAAAGGATTCCGCACGACTGTGAACTAATGGGCTGCAGTGTTGTATCGCAGTGTTGTATCACTCTGTGAAGAGCTAGCAGCTACAGATTGGTCATCATTAAAATCATTTAATGATCTCAAGGCTGTAGCGTCATCCTTTTATATGAACTTGCATTCATCAATCTATATTTTCGTTGCAGAAATATCGCTAGTAAACAAAACCAAACCCAATAAAAATAAAAAATCGAGTTCGTATAAAAAATATTTTAAAACCATCTCTTCGGAGGACTTTTTAAAGTATATATCGAACCGTGCGGAAAACAAATCTGTGCTGTGATCCCTAACATTTCTCAATGTAGTGAGAACATTCGAAATGACCCAAAACATTTTTACTTGTTTGTGAATTCTAAAGGAATATCGTATAAGTATCCGTCATCTTTTCGTTTTCCCAACAAAATGGAATCTTCATCTTTAAATATTCCTAATGTTTCTGCAAATTTTTTTCAAACAACATACTCTTTACAGTCCTACGACTGCTCGGCTGTATTTCGGCTAATCTTTCAAATAGAACCCAAAGCTACGTCTTTGATGCTCGCAGCTTGGTCCATAGCACTTACTGCATTATCCAAATGCTGAGCGTTGTCAGATGCGATCGAAAATGTAGTGTTGGGAGGCACTGATGCCTCGATCATCTTATCAGCCACTTTTGCCAACATATCCAAATCTGATTCCTCCCAAACAGTTAGAGGTGGGCGAATTGATTGTGGAATCTCTGAAGAGTATGAATAATGTTTCATTGCCCAGGTCCGGAGTAAGACCTCGCATATGTGTCAAAATCTCGGAAGATTTGAGACCTGCAGTCTCGCCTTGACGCAAAAGGCGATTTGGTTTTGTTTGGGTGTCTCAGAAAATTTGCATAGCAGCCTAGGTTTAAGTGTGAGGTATTTGCAGGCGGGCATGTTACCAAATCTTCCACAGATAAAATTACATCTTCCTCCAAATGGACAGTTATCAAATCAAACTTCTCGTTGTCTTCGGTAATGCTGTGAAGGCGGAACGAGCGCTCAACTTGAGCGAACCATAGCTGAGTATTATTACGACCAAAATTTGGTAACTTTACGGAGACTCGCTGAGAGGGCACATGTGGTGCCTGTTGCTGCTGGAACTGCGAAGCTGTTAAAGCTCCCGAATCTGGGTATCGTTGGTCGTTTTCGTTGAAAATTAGTCTTCTCGGTGCAAGCGAACGCAAGTTGTAGGGCGACTCTTGCAATAATAGGGTACAATGATATCAAGAGAACCTGGCTGGTGTTTTACTTCTAACTAATCGAAATTCAAGTGTCGGGGTTACTACTTTGGCATCCAATAAAATGCCAAGATGTTAATTTATAAGAATAACTTTTATTTTATCCAAATAGTAACAGCGTCGTGACAATTGTGATTTCTTAGATCCTTGTTGCCTTACGATATATTTTATTTCTATTAGGTTCCGCTAGGAGAGTAGCGTAGGCAGAAACGCCACGCCGCGCTAACAATTCAGTCGTTCTATCTCTCTATCTTTAATTATGAATTCTTAAACCAATCCCAAGGCCAAAAGAATATAAATAAAAATAAATATTGGAAAAGTTCCTTTTTCTATACCCTGATTAGTATCACTAGGAGAGTCGATCTAGCCATGTCCGTCTGTCCGTCTGTCCGTCCGTCTGTCCGATTTGGGTGTTTTTTAATTTTTTTTAGTTCTTCGAGATATAGTAATGGTTAAATATTTTTTTAGAATTACGGTTTAAATCAAAATCGGAGGACTTAGCATATAGCTCCCATAGGAACAATCGTATAACTGCCATAGGAACTATCGAAAAATTAAGCTGCAAATCATCATAGCTTCAATATTTTTTAACATACTCACAAGTAAATCATATTTTAACGTTTTCAAAAGTATTTAGTTTTTGAAATAACTGCAAGGGTATATGAACTTCCTTTGCTTGCTTTGCTTCCTTTCTTGTTTTTTATAAATTCCTATTAATAATTTGACAGTTCAGAATTACGCTTTTAATTTTATTAAAATCGGAAAAAGATATAATATAGCTGCCATAGGAACTATTGAATAATTAAGCTGCAAATCATCGTAGCTTCAATGTTTTAAGCATATACGCAAGTAAATCATAATTTTAATGTTTTCAAGAATATTTAGTTTTTGCAATAGCTGCAAGGGTATATGAACTTCGGCTTGCTTCCTTTAAGATCGACCAACAGCGACATAACGCCAGTTTAAAAAAGAGGCGACGATGCTTAATTTAAGTGCCAGTGATTGGACAATTCGACGCAGTCTTGATAGATTAGGCCTGATAACTAAGGAAATCTAAAAATGCAAACTATTTCAAAATTGTTGTGTTTTCAAGGTTATATGGTCGGACGAACATACCAAATAGGATGTATTTCCGAACCGTGGCTGTGTCGAATTATATCAAATGTAAGATCAAAGAAAGGAAAGGAATTCGTGTTGTCTTGTTCTCAGTTCCGCCATTTAAGAACAATTTAAGTAATTAAACATTTTTGGGAAAACACTTGTATCCGAAAGATAAAAGAAGCCATTAAATTAGCATTCCATATGAGTAACCATCGCGCACAAGGCATAATAGTATCTGCCCAATCTTTTTATCGAAATAGCGATAAGGGGAGATACCTGGCTTTTGACATATAAAGACCAGCGCACTTGCGACACATTCATTCAAGCTTATTGCTCTGTACTAGACTTATTGTTTTGCAAGCATAGATAGTAACTAGTATCCTAACACTGGAATAGCTGCAGTTGGAATGAATTCATCAATAGGTACGAATCGAAAAAGAACCCTACAGCCGAATCTACCAACAAAGGACTAAGACATCTTTCCCTTACAGTAATTGCCTGTGTCGCCGTTTTGGTGGCCAGCATTAACGCCGCTAGTGTGCAGCCAGCCGTAAGAACGATCAACAATGAACTCTATCGACGTTATGTGTGCGCTCATAAGCCCGATGGATTCCGCGCCTTGGTTCCCGGCAGTTGCTCCCAGTACTACGAGTGTCAGTCAGGAGTGGCCCTCGTAAGCACCTGCTCACGCTTCTTCGACGCTAAAGTCCAGGGATGTGTCAACTACAATACTGGCTGCATCGAAGTTCAGCCTGCTTCAGCCGGCAAGGCAACTGTTGGAGGCTCTGTCGTGCCTTGTAATGAGGAAACAACCACTGTGTGCGCCCCAACAGCTCCTACTACACCATGTGTCACAGAAACTACTCCGACAACACCCTGTGTTACTGAGCCAACTACTGTCCCCACTACACCCTGTGTAACTGAGCCAACTAAAGCACCCACTACACCCTGTGCAACTCAGCCATCTACTGCCCCCACAACACCCTGTGTAACTGAGCCATCTACTGCCCCAACGACACCCTGTGTAACTGAGCCAACAAAAGCACCCACTACACCCTGTGTAACTGAGCCAACTACAGCACCCACTACACCCTGTGTTACTGAGCCATCTACTGCCCCAACGACACCCTGTGTAACTGCCCCCACTACACCCTGTGTTACTGAGCCATCTACTGCCCCAACAACACCCTGTGCAACTGAGCCATCTACTGCCCCAACTACACCATGTGCAACTGAGCCATCTACTGCCCCCACTACACCCTGTGTTACTGAGCCATCTACTGCCCCAACAACACCCTGTGCAACTGAGCCATCTACTGCCCCAACTACACCATGTGCAACTGAGCCATCTACTGCCCCCACTACACCCTGTGTTACTGAGCCATCTACTGCCCCAACAACACCCTGTGCAACTGAGCCATCTACTGCCCCAACTACACCATGTGCAACTGAGCCATCTACTGCCCCCACTACACCCTGTGTTACTGAGCCATCTACTGCCCCAACTACACCATGTGCAACTGAGCCATCTACTGCCCCCACTACACCCTGTGTTACTGAGCCATCTACTGCCCCAACAACACCCTGTGCAACTGAGCCATCTACTGCCCCAACTACACCATGTGCAACTGAGCCATCTACTGCCCCAACTACACCATGTGCAACTGAGCCATCTACTGCCCCCACTACACCCTGTGTTACTGAGCCATCTACTGCCCCAACAACACCCTGTGCAACTGAGCCATCTACTGCCCCAACTACACCATGTGCAACTGAGCCATCTACTGCCCCCACTACACCCTGTGTTACTGAGCCATCTACTGCCCCAACAACACCCTGTGCAACTGAGCCATCTACTGCCCCAACTACACCATGTGCAACTGAGCCATCTACTGCCCCCACTACACCCTGTGTTACTGAGCCATCTACTGCCCCAACTACACCATGTGCAACTGAGCCATCCACTGCCCCCACTACACCCTGTGTTACTGAGCCATCTACTGCCCCAACAACACCCTGTGCAACTGAGCCATCTACTGCCCCAACTACACCATGTGCAACTGAGCCATCTACTGCCCCCACTACACCCTGTGTTACTGAGCCATCTACTGCCCCAACTACACCCTGCGTGACTGAGCCAACAACTGTCTCCACAACACCCTGTGTGCCAGTAATCACAACACCCTGTGTGCCAGTTACCACAACACCTTGTGTGCCAATTTCCACACCACCCTGTGTGCCAGTTAGCACAACTCCCTGTGCACCGGAAACCACAACAGTTTGCGCTGAAGAAACTACCACTGCCTGCAGCGGAACCCTCACAGCCTCAAAGGCCAAGCCCGCCTCCGTGAAAGTGAGACCACTAAGACCTGTGCGTCCTGCCGCATTGCCAACTGAGCAGCTTTCTGTTCCTCAAACCCATGAGCTTAGCATTTCCACCTACACAAAGTACGTCTGCCGCAATAAGCCAGACGGCTTCATGCTTGCTTCGCTGAAGAGCTGTTCCGACTACTACATTTGCCGATATGGAAAACCTCTGTTGGTTAGTTGCGGCGATAAATACTTCAACGGCCTTAAGGGAATTTGCGATCTACCAGAAAATACGCGATGCGTGCAGCCCCAAGCCTAAGAACGCATGATGGCCGCATAACCTCTGGAACCATCGCCAAATAAAGCTCTACCGAACCCACCTTGATATTTGTGCCGGTTTCATCCTTATGTTTTATATTCAATATAGACTAAATAAAAGCAACAGCTATTACAAGCTATAAAAAATAATCATTTTTTCATTGATTTTAAAGAGTAAGGACATAATGGACAGAGCCATAGTGTGAGAAACTATAGAAGGTCAAGTCACATTAAGCCCCGTCTACCGTTTACCGTCAATGACGTGCGTATTGCCGTTTTAAATTTTCCCAAAAAATTCCACCGTCAACTTCTGCCGTTCCTATCTGATGCCGTTTCCTCCAGTATACTTGTATTTAGTATATTTTGATCCCATCACTTAATAACAGTGAATTTAAATATAAAAATACAGTTTTTTTGGGTGAATAAGTGAAAGTCTAATTCACACTGCCACCGACTATCGTCAACGTCTTCTTTTTCCGAGTGCTCGAGACAAAGTGAAATTCAACCAAAAATTAGTAAAATAAGAAAAATTTATGGTGAACATTTAATATTGTTTTGTATTAAGAAACGCGAAACTTGTGACTGCAGTAGGTTCGAGATAATTTACTCGCGATAACTTGTGGATAACTTGTGCGAAAGTACGACGACTAAAGGTTACGATGAAGTTCAACTGATCACTAAATTTACAAGAAAGAAAGCAAACTTCGGCAAGTCGAAGTTCATATACCCTTGCAGCTATTGCAAGAATTTAACATTTTTGAAAACATTAAAATTATGATTTACTGCGTATATGTTTAAAAACATTGAAGCTATGATGATTAGCAGCTCAATTATTTGATAGTTATTTTATATAAGTTAAAAGATTGGTTATGATTTTTATATAAAAAAATCAAACTTTCCTTTATTGAGTTGGATTAAGAACTAACTTACTTAGATTAAACAATTGTTTTTATAGCTACGCGTCGCTCCATCGCTGCCGCCGTCTCTGCCGCTGTTGATGTTTCTGCTGACGTTCTTTCATATTATTGGTTGCTGCTCTTGGTCGCCGTCGCCGTTGGCCAAACTTAATTGTAATTGGCCAGTGCATTTTAATTATAGTTTTTGTTGTATGCACTAAGTTGAGTTCGATCAACTTTGGAAATTGGCTATTCTGCATTCCCACGATCGCTGACCAAAAGGTGCAAGCTAAGTTCGTTAGAACTTTATTGAGAGCATTGCTTTGCTGTTAGTTGTGCAATTAATGCTTTCTTCTTCGGTTTGGGAAACTCTATTATTGAGGGCATTGCTTTGCTGTTTGTTGTGCAATCAATGCTTACTCATTTCCTCTGTCTGAGAAATTGTATTATTTTGGGTGTTAACTCTTCCCTCCTTAAACGCGACTGTCCTCGGTCGCAACGTAGTAGAGTACAGGTCCGGAGTGCGTGGGCTTTTCTTGCGTTTCTGGCACAGAAACTGGTGTCCTTTCCGTTGACCTACGTCTTCGTAGGAGTTCCGTGATTGATCCTATTATAAGTAGTAGTAGGATGATGGCGGATCCGTAGCTAACGGAAGATTCTATGGTTGCCTTGCTTCTTAATTTTTCCAGCGCTTTTGTGTTGTTAATGTTGAGTTCCTTGACCATTTGTAGTGAGAGAACTTCCTCTAACTTAGTCTTTTCGCCCAATAGTTGGAATAACGGAGGTTCTGGTTCGACTACGTTGATTTCATTTGACTTGAAGATGGTTTCACCAATTGTTACCGTCGAATTACGATATTGTATTATGAAAGAGCCTTGCAGTTGTAGAAGTTTTTCATCTAGTGAGACTGGTCCATTGAAGTTGTTTAGCAGGATGGTGCCTGGTAGTATTTCTTCGAAATCCGGTATATGTTGATTGTTGATCATCTTACATTCTGGTTCTCGAAGGTTTAATAGAGCGTTTACGCAAGTATCATTGCTTAAGTCTAACAAATTTTCTGAATTACAAATTGTCTTATCATTATAGGATTCACAAGGTTTAATTATTGCCAATAATTGTCTCTTACATTCTAAAAAATTTTCATATTTTATATCATTGATTATTTGGGCTTTTTTTATTGCTTTAATTTTTAAAGTTCTACAATTATCTGATTCAATGGTTGGTAAGCTAATAATGTAAATAAGGTCGTTGCCATTTGTGGCTAACTTGATTCGAGCAAATTCCAATAATTCTTCTATGTTAAAAAATAAGTTATTTTCTTTTTTTAAAAATTTCTTCCACTATTTTGGTTTCTGTGTTTGTAAGTACAAATGAATTTATTGTATTAGATTTGGCCCATGTAATTGCGTATATTATGTTAATTATTTCTTCTTTTATTAATTGAATTTTATACTTTAAAATATTTGCTTTCTGATTTATGATTTCTTCCGAGCTCTGGGTAATTTTCAACATTGCATTAGTAGCGTTAGTAAGTTGGTTTATTTTTTGATTAATTAATCTGTTAATTACTACTTGTCTATTGTTGTTTTCTAGCTGCTCATTTATCTTGTCTTCTAAGATCTGATAGTCGTGAATTGTTCTGTGAATTGGAATAGTCGAGGACTGTAGTTATTCCCAAGCATGTTGGTAAAAATAATCTGAAAAATTATGTTCTTATATTATTTTTATGTATGATTTTTCCGGTTTGTGTTTTAATGGTAGTCGTTCTATTTTCCGCTACTTTCTCGGTTTTGTATCTAGGTGTAAGTTTAGTTCCTAATCTTTTATCTATTTTTACATGTACAGTTTCGCCTGGCTTAAAAAGTTTTGGTAATATTTTTCCTTGATTATGGTATTCGAGGTCGGCTGTTTGTTTATTTTTAATTTTCTTTTTTATTTCTTCTCGTTTCTTTTCTATGTCTTCTGTTGAACTAGAGATTGTGCTTCTGAAAAATATGTCTATGGGTCTTTCTTTTGTTACAGAATGTATCGATTTATTATATTCTTGAACTGCTTTAAAGATTAAATCTTCAAATGATATGCTCCCGTTGTCTTTTTTGAGACACCGCATGATTTCAGATAGGGTTGAATGAAACCTTTCTATTTGTCCGTTACTTGTCGATGCGTACGGTGCGGTGGTGTGTAATGATATTTTGAGTTCATCTTCTAACATAAACTTTATTGCTGCTGAGCCAAATGATCGTTCGTTGTCCATTATTATCCATTTCGGCATACCGAAAGCAATTAACATTTCCCTCAACGGATTTTTAATATCTTCAGATGCTCTTGACTCTAAAATTTTTACTTGAACATATTTTGAAAACTTGTCAATTCCCGTTAAGACTCTATGTTTTTCGGTAATATAAATATCTATGTGAACTATTTCTCCTGGGTAATTAGGAATAGGGGTCGGTTGGATTTCTCCTTTTGGGGGGTGTCTATCGTATTTTGATTCTTTACAAGTTTGACAGGCTTGAACTATTGCTTGGATTTTCTTGGTAAGTTGTGGAAAGAAATAATTCTTCAAAATTTGTAATTTGATCTCTTTTGCATCTCTATGGCCTCGTTTATGTTCGAGGATAATTATTTCGTTTTGTTGGGACTCCGAAGTTACGTCGTCTATTTCGTTTTGAGTAAACCTTACCTTGTATGATTTAAAATAGGTAGGGTAAATGTTTTGAATTTTTCCCATTACCTCTTCGGATGTAATGATTCCGTTTATAAGCTTAGGATCAAGTTTACTAGTTAAAATTGCAATAAGTTTTTCTTCCGTGTAAGATTTTTGTTTAATTATGTGTCTGTGGTATGTTGGGAATGGCATTTCGAAGCTATAGGAATCTGTATCGGCAGTCAGTAATAATAATTGGTTTTTAAATACGTTAATTGGAGCTTCTACTGAAAATATGAGGTTGTGTGACGAGCTTTCGTCGCTATTGGCTGATGCTGAGGAGCTGATTGAATTAATTTCTGCGGGGGCCCGGGACAACGCGTCCGCTACCACATTAGCTACTCCGGGCTTGTACCTGATCTCGTGGTTATACTCGCCAATGAGGTCTCTCCAGCGTTTAAGCTTAGCGTTATGGTTATTTACGCTATTCGAAAAACTCAAGGGTTGGTGATCCGTGTATATTACCACTTTTGAATACCCGTAAAGATAATGTCTTAAACTTTGGAGCGCCCAAACGATCGCGAGCATCTCTCTTTCGTTAGTTGCGTAGTTCTCTTCAGTCTTTGACAGGGTGCGTGAAATGAACGTTATTGGCCTATGATTTTGTTCCAATACTGCGCCTATTGCGTAACTTGAAGCGTCAGTAGTCAATTGAAATTCTTTTCCGAAATCTGGATAGGCAAGGGTAACCTCCCTGGAGACGAGAGTATTTTTAAGTTTCTCGAATGCTGTAATCGCATCTTTGCTCAAGTTGATAGCAGTTCTGCTTGACTTGGTCTTAGATATCCGGCCTTCTTCGCCTCTTAGAAGAATGGTTAGTGGTTTTGCTATTTTGGCGTAATCTTTTATGAACCGCCTATAATAACCTGTCATGCCCAAAAAGGAACGGAGATCTTTTAATGTTTTTGGGACTGGAAATTTTGTAATCGCTTTTATTTTATCTATGTTGGTTTTTACTCCATTTTCTGATATTGTGTACCCCAAGAAGTCTACTTCGTTTTTAAAAAAATGGCATTTCTCTATTTGAACCCTCATATTTGCGTTTTGTAGCGTTGAAAATACTCTTTCCAAGTTTTTGCCGTGCTCCACTTCGTTTTTGCTAAAGACTATAATATCATCAACGTATACATAGCAAATTTTCCCTATGTATTCTCTCAATATGTCGTCTAACGCTCTTTGAAAAATGGAAGGGGAATTTTTCAAACCGAATGGGAGTCTCGTAAATTCATATTTTCCGCCATTTACCGCGAATGCTGTTTTTTCTATGTCTGTATCTTTCAGTGGTATTTGATGAAAACCGCTCTTAAGATCTAATACCGAAAAATATTTGTTGTCCCCGAGTTGCGCAATAATTTCTCCAATTTCGGGTATGGGATACCGATCTGAGATAGTAATTTCATTAAGTTTCCTATAATCAATTACTAATCTGTACTTTTTTTCTTCGGACTGGCCGGACTTTTTCGGAACTACCCAGACTGGTGCGTTATATGGTGATCTTGAAGGTCTTATAATACCATCTCTTAGCATCTCAGTTATTTGTTTTTCTA